ATGGAACAGCTAGCTTCAACTGTTGCTCAAACCTTTGAGATACCTTGCCCTTCCGATGTAATCTGAGTTTGGATCAAGGATGACCAACTTCCGGGCCTTTCATGAGTTTGTGTGATACATAGAAAAAAATGATGTTATCAGGGCAGCCATGTTACGCTTTGATGTGCAGTATTTCAGCATCAAGTTTGCAGGGTGCGCAAATTGCTCAGGCCCTACTTATAAGGTTTCTGATGAGGCTAATCTTACAGCATGTGGAATAGTAGGAATCCCAATGTATATACTGACCAGTGAAGGTAGGATTACTGTACACAGTAATAGAGAGTCCCCTATCCAATTCTCAAATAGAACGTTGAAGAAAGATAACTCATTTGACTGTTCCATTTCAAATCTGAATCTAAGCACTAGATGGAGACCATTGAGACATGTAAGGGAATTCTTGTATGCAGTTGCGGACTCAAACAAACATACCTTCCAGATATCAAAATACACAAGAGGTATGAGGTTAGCTGCAATTGCACTGAAGGCATGTTTCTCCTGGAATCTGATTGGGAATCCCATGGCAACAACATAATTGTACGTGTTTCTATTAAAACAGAACTGTGTCTCATTATCAAAACATCTGGAAATGAAAACTCGCCCAGTTTTGTCTTTTCTCGTGACTATACAATAGAGAACTTACCTGTCCTTAACTTACCTTTGTGTCGAACTACCTTGTTGGTACTTTGAAATGCTCAAGTTATATACTATCAAACTACATTTGAAACTAGTTGGACTCAGATGACTTTACTTCAAGTGCTAATGCTGGAGTTATCTTCAGTTTAAAGCTAATTGCTGGCATCTTAATAACATTGCTGATATCTGGAATGAGTTATGGTGTCTTTCTGTGTACTTAAATATTGGAAGCCACCTGAATTCCTGTCTAAAAACTCTTTAATCTTGCTGCTTTAAGCAGCATTAATATATGCTTTGATCACATAAATAACTTCATTATAAATTACTGACAACTTTGCCAGACTTGCTGTAGTCTTACTGGGCGTGTTGGTCCTTAGTAAAATGACAGCAGCATGAGTAATCTGAGTTGTCCCTAATGCTATATCGGAGAGTCATTTTGAGTTTTGCAGTTGCTAATTATAGAAGAAAGTAAGTTGGAACTGTGTATTAAACTGAGTGATTGTGGAAGATCACGTTGAGCCATTGCAAATCCTCCTGCTGACTTTTGCACTTTTAAACAGCTTGTGTAAACCAGGAATATCTTACACTTTTGAATTTGTAGAAAAATGGGAGGCTGATCCAAGTCCACTATTGAATGAAATTGTCCCACTAGAGCATAAGATGTCGGAGCAGAATTAGGCCATTCAGTACATTGCCATTCGATCATGGCTGAAAAGTTTCACATTCTCCTGCTTTCTCCCAGTAACCCTTGATCTTCTTACTAATCAAGAACCTATCTATCTCTGTCTTTAATACACTCAGTGACGTGGCCTCCATAGCCTTCTAAGGTAATGAGTTCCACAGATTAACCACCCGCTGCCTGAGGAAATTCTTCCTCATTTGAGTTCTTAATGATCATCCCTTCACTGAGGCTGTGCCCTTGGGTCTTAGACTCTCCTACTAGTGGAAACATTTTTCTCTGTGCCCACTCTATGCATGCCTGTCAGTATTGTCTTTAAATTTCAATCAGATTCCCCGCCCCCACCATCTTTTGAAAGTCCATTGACTAGAGTCCTCAACTGCTCCTTGTATAACAAGCCCTGCATGCCTGGGATCATTACTGTAAACCTCTTCTGGACCCATTCCTTAAGATAGGGGCTCAAAACAGCTCAATGTTGTCAATTGGTCTGACCAGAGCCTTATACAGCCTCAGCAGTGTATCCTTGCTCTTGTATTTTAGCCCTCTCAAGATGAATGCTAACATTGTATGTGCCTTCCTAACTGCCAACTGAATCTCCATTGTAACCTTAAGAGAATCCTGAACAAGGTGGCCCAAGACCTTTTTTTTTATGCTTCAGAGTTCTGAAGCTTTTCCCCATTTAGAAAGTAGTCTCTACCTCTACTCTTCCTACCAAAGTGCGTAACTTCACAATTTTCCAGGTTGTATTCCAGCTCCAGGATGTCTATGTAGGAATTTCTTGGGATCGTGTCCGAAGTCCAACCATCTTCAGCTGCTTCATCAATGACCTTCTGTTCATCATAAGTTTAGAAGTGGAGAGGTTCGCTGATGATTGCACAGTGTTCAGCACCACTTGCGACTTCTCAGATACTGAAGCAGTACATGTTCAGATGCAAGAAGATCTGGACAGTATCCAGGCTTGGGATGACAAATGGCAAGTAACATTTGGGCCACACAAATGCCAGGCAATGACCATCTCCAATTAGATGCAATCAAGCCACCACCCCTTAATATTCACCTTGTTCCCTCACCATCAACTTCCAGGGGGTTACCATTGACCAGAAACTCAACTGGACTCGCCATATTAACACAGAGACCCCAAGATCAAATCAGAGGCTGGAATGCTGTGGCAAGTAACTCTCACCTCCTGCCTCCTAAAGCCTGTCCATTGTCTACAAGGCCCAAGTCAGGAGGGTAATGGAATACTCCCCACTTGCCTGCAAGGGTGCAACTCCAACAACACTTGAAGCTTGTCACCATCCAGGACGAAAGAGCCCACTTTATTGGTATCATATCAAACATTCGCTCCCTCCACCACTGATACTCAGTAGGAGTACTATCTACAAGATGCACTGTAGAAATCCACCAAAGGTAGCATCTTCTAAACCCATGACCACTTCCATTTAGAAGGACAAGGGCAGCAGATACATGGGAACATAACAATCTGCAAGTTCTCCTCCAAGCCACTCACCATCCCGACTTGGAAATATGTCAGCGTTCCTTCACTGCTAGGTCAAAATTCTGGAATTCTGTCTCTAAGGGGATTGTGGTTCAACCCACAGCGCTTGAACTCCAGTGGTTTAAGAAGACAACTCACCACCACCTTCTCAAGGGCAACCAGGAACAAGCAATAAATGCTGGCCAGCCAATGTTCCACAGATGAATTAAAAAAAAACTGCCACTTCTTTGCCTGCTCTCCTAGCCTTGCAGCCTCCCTGCTTCCTCAACGCTACTTGGCCCTCCACCTTTCTTTGTGACATCTGCAAATTTGGCAGCAATGTCTTCAGTTTCTTCATCCAGATTGTTAATGTATAGCATGAACACTGACCACTATTGAACTCCACTCATCACCAACTGCTATCCTGAAAAAGATCCCTTTATCCCTACTCTCTGCCTTCTGCCAGTTAGCCATCCTCTATCTGTGCCATTTCCTTGCCCCTGACACCATGGGCTCTTATCTTATTTAGCAGCTCTCGTGACATCTTGTTGAAGGCCTTCTGGAGGTTCAAATAGATCATGTCCACTGCCTTTGTTTAACTTGCTTGTTAGCTCCTCAAAGAATTTTAACAGACTTGTCAGGCTTGACCTCCCCTTAATGAAGTTGTGCTGACCCAGCCCTGTTTTATCGTGCTTCACAATGCCAAAATTTCCTGTCATCTGCCTCCCTCCCTTCTCAAACAGGGGTGTTACATTAGCCATTTTCCAGTCACCAGGCAACCTCCCTGACTGCAGTGATTCCTAAAAAAGTCACCACCAATGCCCCTGCAATCTCCTCAGCTATCTCCTTCAGAATTCTGGGGTATAATTCATTTAGTCTAGATGATTTATCCACCTTCAGACCTTTTCAGCTTGCCCAGCAGCTCCTCTTTAGTGATGGCCACTACACTCCCCTCTGCCCCCTGACTCTTTTGAAGTTCTGGTATGCTGCTGGTGTCTTCCATCATGAAGACTAATGCAAAGTACCTATTCAGTTCCTCTGCCATTTCTTGGTTCCCATTACTACATCTCCAGACTCATTCCTCAGCAGTCCAATGGCCACTCTTTCCTAACTCTATTATTTTTTTTTAGTATCTAAAAACACTCTTGTAATTTTCTATATTATTAGCTAGCTAACTCATTTTATCTACTCCCCTTTATTGCTTTTTTTTTAAAGTTATCCTCTGCGTTTTAAAGGATTCCCAAGCTTCCAGCTTCTTCAAATTAGAATTTTGGTAACGTGACATGGTGAATAACAACAAAAATAATAGCAGGTACAATGAAAACATTAAAAAAGACATTTGGAAGAGTATATGAATAAGAAGGAAATGGAGGGATAATGGCCAAATGCTGGCAAATGGGACAAGATTTATCTAGGATACCTGGTTGGCATTTCATAATCTATAATTTGTCTGACTACTCCACCAGCTTGTTTCTGTCCTCTTCAAGCTTATTTCTGTTCTTGCCACCTTCCTGAGGACAACTGGAGATGGTCAATAAATGCTGGCCCAACCAGTGACGGCCATATCCCATGAATGAATCTTTAAAAGATTTTTGTGATATTAATCTGTTGGCAATAAATTTGCAGAATATACAAAGATTCAATATTGCACTTTTGTTGCGGCTGGTCAGAAACATTGAGGATTGAACTTAGGTACAAATTGGGTGCAATGTCTGATATGTTTGGAATGTGTACAGGTTGGTTGTTGGGGGAGCAGGGGTTGGTATTGTGTGGTGCTGGTATGCACTTTAATGGAACTATGCAAAGTTAGCCAAAATTCACTGCCACAAAGACCAAATCATTTGCCCTGCACCAAATATGAATTACATTTATGTAAACTTTGTCTTTGTAATGTTGATTACTTACTTCTGCAGAGAGTGCATTTCACTCGGGTGAAGTAATGGGTCTGTCCAGTACTGCTAAGCTGTACATTGAAAAATCAATGTGGACAACTAAGCTGCGGTTTTAAAATGTGTAGTGTGTATTATTTTATAGTAACACTTAAAGCTGGTCATTTTAGGAGGTAAAGAGCAAAAATGGGCTCTGTTTGTAGCTTTGAGTTTTATAATAATTATAAACCTGAAGCCACCTACATTTTAAAAGAGAAAGAAACTAATTCCTTTTGTTGCCTAGACTACAAGGGGAACTATTAAGGACTATCCAAATTTTGAAGCAAATCATGATGCCGAGATGCTTAGAAAAGCAATGAAAGGACTGGGTAAGTGTTCTTATTACTACCAATTTTGGACATTTTGTCGTCATACTAATGTTTAGAGTTTTGCTGCATGATGTGTGTAAAGAGCTCTTGAAAGCTCTCAGTTGATAAAATGTGAAGCAGGAAGAGCACAGCAGGTCAGGCAGCATCGGAGGAGCAGGAAAGTCTGCGTTTCAGGTCTGGACCCTTCAGTAGCACTTAAGTAGCCATCAGTATGTCACTGCCTTACTGTTTGAGACTGAGCTGTCTCTAATTTCATTGACAATATGCAATAAAGCCCAGATTGTGCACTGTCCACAGGCATCCTGGAGTTTGAGGTATTTTGCAAAGGAGCTATGGTCCTTTTGGTTTAAGGTCCTCTACTTTAATCTGTGAAAGATCAAGCTATTTTCCCGTTTTGCTGTTTCTAATCTTAATGGCAATGGTAGTGGACAATTTCCAGTTTTCTGGGAACTACTTCAATTTTGGCAAGATCTCCAAATACTTTGCATGTAATTAATTACTTTAAAGCTCAGTGACTTTTATAAAGGCAAATGCAGGATGATATTTAGCACATTCCCCAAACTTCATAAGTTAAATTGTTTGGTTGTAGCTGAAGGAGGACTGTAAGCATGGATACAGTCGCCTGTGTTAAGTAGTATGAGAAGATCTTTATAAGCCAACTAAGCCATTATCCAGGCTTTACAGGACTTTAGTTAGCCATCTCATTTAAATGGTCCAAAAAGATCCAACAATGCAGGCTTTCCTCAGTGTTACACTAGACTTTAAATCTAGGTTACATGCATACTTTCCAGAGTGTAGCTTAAGGCACATGATTTCTCCCTCTTCAAATAAGTCTTTCATGACCCCAAATTTTAACAGTGAACATTTTCTGCACTCTCTCCAAAGCCTTCACATCCTTCTTAAAATATGGCCGCCAGAATTAGATTCAGTACTCCTGCTGAGATCAAACTAGCATCTTTGTACAAGTTCAGCACAACCTCTTTGTTCGTGTATTCTATGCCTGTTAATAAAACCTGGCATACTATATGTTTAAATTGTCCTGCCATCTTCAATGACATAAGAATATATACACCAAACTCTGCTCCTGCATCTACTTTTAAAATTGTTTATTTTGTGTTGTCTCCGTAATGAACTTCATCTGCCATCTATCCACCTATTCCACCAACTTAACTATGCCTTTTTTAAAGTTCTGCACTGCCCTCATAACAATTCACAAAACTTTCAAGTTTTGTATTATCCACAAGTTTTAAAATGGGGCCCTGCACACCAAGTGCATTAATATATATTACACGTAAACAAGGTTTCTGCTGTCTGCTGGAAACTCCCTGATGAACCTTCCTGCAGCCTGAAAAACATCCATTAGCCACTGCTCTCTATTTTCAATCACTCAGCTAATTTTCTATCAATATCATTACTGTCTCTTTTATTCCATGGGCTGTAACTTTACTCGTGGAAATGTTGTGTGACACTGTGTCGAATACGTTTTGAAAGTCCCTGTACACCACATCAACAGTGCTGGCCTCATTAACCCTCTCTCTTACCTCTTCAAAAAAGCTCGGAATTAGTTGAACAGATTTTCTTGTAAGAAATCTGTACTGGATTTTCTTAGTTAACATATATTTGTCTATGTGACTACTATTTTTTGTTTTGATTTATTGTTTCTAAAAATTCTCCAGAAAATAAATCTAGAAAATAAACTGAGAGACCTTTAATTGCTGAGCTCATCATTAAACTCTTTTGGGCAAGGGTGTAACATTTACAATTCTCCACTCCTCTTGCACTGCCTCAAGAGTATAAGGAAGACTGAAAAATCATGGCCAACGCTTCTGCAAACTTTCAATTTCACTTCTTCTGTCAGTATCTTTGGGTGCATCTCATTTTGACCTGGTTTTTATCCAATTTTAAGTCCAGGCAGCCAATCCAATAGCTCCTCCTTATCAATCCTTTATCCTTTCTAGTGTTTGACTTCCTATTTCACCAAAGTTGGGAATGACCGGTGCAAAGTATTCATTTTAATACCTCAGCCATGCCTCATTCTTCTGTTTTTAAAAAAACAGTCCCCTTTTTTTGTCTATGTTTGGCCCTGCTCTTCCTTTTTATACCCTTTTTATTATGCCTGTAGAAAACTTTAGATTCTGTTTTATATTAGCTACCAGTATGTCTTCATATTCTGTTTTTTTTTTCACTTCCGTATAAAAGTTGTATGTTGAGCCTAGTTTGCACAAGAGACAATATGTCTTTCCGAACAATGCCTGTTGCACTGTGGTCTTATATACCTGAAGTTCCACATATTTCCTAGACTTCTGACATATAGATAACTGATCTTGTATATATGTTTTACTTGCACTTGTCAAACTACCAATTTGTATTATTGTTAGAAACAATGAACACTATTCATAATTTAATTAATACCTATTAGATAAGTTGTAAAATCAAAGGTTTTCAAATGTACCCATTGTAACCAAGTAACTGTTTAGTTTTGGGCATTAAATCTCAGAAGAGAGAGGTTTTGGGTTTAAGAACAGCCAGAGTGAGCTGAGGCCAAAACTGAAAGAACTGCGGATGCCAGAAATCGGAAACAAAAACAGAAGTTGCTGGAAAAGCTCAGCAGGTCTGGCAGCATTTGTGGAGAGAAATCAGAGTTAACTTTTTGGGTCCAGTGACTCTTCCTTAGAATCCTTAAGACCCTTAACCCTTGAGAGAGAGGTCGCTTGGCAAACCTATCTTGTAGTCCCTGTAAATTTTAGAAGATTGAGGGGTGATCTAATTTTGGTTTCTTCACATGACGAAGGAATTAGATACAGTAAATATGTAGAAATCTTTCTTGGAAGAACCCAGAAGAAGGTTCTCAGAATTAGAGCTAAGCTATCTCGGAGTGAAATTGATAGCTGGTTATTTTGATTTAATAACTTTTTAATGACAAATCTTCTCACTGTAATCTTGTGAAGTTTTGGTTTATCTTTTAATTTCTTCTTTTCCCGGCCACTAAAAATGCTGTCATCGCTCCCTACCAAAAGAACAGTTGCTTTGTCCATGCAACATACTGCCCCATCTTGAAGCTTGCTGTCCTCCAGTCCTTGAATGTAAAGCTGCCTCCCAAATCTGTACTTGCATTTCGCAAAATTTGATACTTGAGTCCAGACTCTCACATGATACTCTACATTGCTATGTCATTGGTGGATATTCCCTTCTTGACAGCATCAAAAAAGAAAGATTAATATTTCAAATGCAGACCTTTCATCATAACTCTAGGATATTGTGCAATAAATTGGCATACCTCTGAGTGCAATGATGTGGAGGTTCCAGTGTTGGTCTGGGGTGGACAAAGGCAGAAGCCACAAGACATCAGGTTAGAGTCCAACAGGTTTATGTGAAATCACAAGCTTTTGGAGTGCTGCTCCTTCGAATAAACCTGTTGGACTATAACCTGGAGTCATGTGACTTCTGACTTTGTCCTTGCGTGCTAATGACTACTTCCATGATTCTTTAAAGTTAGATTTATTTTTTACTTGTTCTGTAGGTACTGATGAAAGTGCTATTGTTCACATCCTAACGACTAGAAGTAGTGCCCAGCGTATGAAAATCAACCTTCAATACAAGACTCTGTTTGGCAGGGTAAGAAGACATTTATGTGTATGCTTCATGATACTGTTCAACTTATTTTAATGCATTTGCTAGAAACATACATTTTTAATCTTATAAAGATCAAGATCCATCTAGTCTTCTTACCATCACGATAGACGTGCTGACTTATTATAACTTCCAGCCACTAAGAATTCTTCATAATGGATGGAAATAAGAGACCAGGCAAAACCCCAGTGGTGGATACCTTTTAATAAACAAGAGGTCCAAAGTCATTTGATCATTCTGAGTGTGCACATATGCTTTTGAAATATTTATACTTTATTTCAAATGACCAATTGGCATTTGGAGCAACAATACTTGCTTCAACAGCCTTTCTAAGTAGTCTGTTCCATAAGTGGACTATCTGATCACTGAAATATTGAGGAAATTTTAATTCCTAGGATGGATAGAAGAGGGACTGACTGGGCTAAACTATTCCTGAGAAAGAATGACTATTTTCATCTTACCCTGCTCAACTACCACACCACACCACGCCATTACAGAACAGCTTTAACCATGTCAGCTTTCAACGGGCCAAAGGCTGCAAATCCAACTTCCTTCCCTGTCTTGGGTGCTAATGCCAAATTTCACAGGTGGGAATGTACAAAAACAAGAGAAGTAGTAACATTTGTGTATAAAACTTGCACCTTCAACCACGGACATGAGGCTCGTGACCAGTCCACATTGGAAAAGGATATCAAGCTATGGCTCTAGCAACTGCAGCATTAGGGCATTGAGCTGGTGAGACTCCTACAACTGAGATTATACCTTGTACCAAACAGCATTTCAAAAAAGAAGCAAGAGTGCCTTGATCTCACTAAAATAGGAGCCAATAGCCAGATGGCCTGCATTTTCCGACACGAGATGAGAGAGAGAGCGAGCAATCCTGATACATAGTTAGATCAACTAAAGTCTGTAATGCTCACTCGTGTGAGTGTAGACTTAATTTCACCGTAACACTTTGAGAAAAATTGTCTGCAAAGTAACTTGGGATATCCCAAGGTCAAGAAAGGCACCATGTATTTATGAGTTCTTTACTTTTAACCAGTGGAACAATCTTTCTTTTTCATTAGTTACTTTCACATTTCAATTAATTATTTTTTTAAACAAAGGTTTTTCAGCCTTTAATCACCCTTCAGTCCTGATAAATTTCCAGTAAATCATTTATTAGATGTATAATAATGGTTACCTCGAATCACATAGAAGAATAGGTAAATAGTTCAAATCTGTCTTCCCTGTTTTGTATTCAGTGTCCCTGTCTAAACCTTTTTTTGGCCTTTTCCTAACCTCTCACCCACTTTTAAAATTATGTAAGATTTTCTCAACCACTGACATATGTAATCGGTTGGAAAGTTTTTGCTGCTGTCATATTGCAGGTGAGATTTGGTAAAGAAATTGCCATAATTCTTGAAATGTAAAGTCATTTGGCAATTTCAGGCACAGATTTTCTGAAGTTTCTTTATTCTGTGCTGTAAGGAGGAATGAGAGAGAAAGAGAAAGGCATTGCAATCTTTAATAGCCTTGCTTTGATAATTCAGTCCATTTTAGTCCTGAGTTGCTTTCTCCCACTCACATTAGCCAGATCTTAAGAAAAATGACTAATGTCCATTTGGAAAAATTTCTGCAAATTCTGACAATTAGGTTTTGTGAAAGGGATTTCACTAAGTGAAACCATGTCTCAACTGTGTTCACTGTAAAATCTTGGCAGAGACTTATTGAAGGAATGTACAACATAACAGTAACTTTTTTTAAACAGGATCTCGTTGAGGATCTAAAATCTGAATTGGGTGGCAAGTTTGAAAAGCTGATTGTTGGCCTGATGAAGACTCCTCTACAATATGATGTTTCCGAATTGCACAATGCACTTAAGGTAAGTTATTAATTCTCTTTTTTTTTTTTTTACAGTGGTATCTTGTTCTGCTTGAACACCTCTCAGATGCCAGAAGTTGCTATAGTCCTACTAGACCACAGGACTGTTCAGATCATTGGAGTGCAATGGCTGGTGGTGAGTTTAACCTGAGGTCACCACACAGCAGGCGAGGGGAGAAGTCGAGGAGGTAGGACCTGTCCTGTAGACCTCAGTCATTATGGGAATTGAGCCCCTTGCTGTTTGCCATCACTCCACTTTGCAAACCAGCTATCTAGCCAACTGAGCTAACCAGCCCCCATGCCAGAAATATGACAGTATCTAATCCTAGAAAAGGAAGGTGTATTGCAACTTAGCTGGGGGGTGTGCCTCTTTTGTAGATCCCAACCCATTACAGACCACTCTGCCCTTCCACCCCATCCTCCCTGGCCTCTTGATTCTTGCAAGTTGCTTTTCTGGACAGGAAACCCCTACCTTGGTCTTACCTGGGCTTCTCAGCATTGAGGATTGCCTATATCTCAGCCAAGCAGTGGTCACCACTCCCTGCCCTGTGGGACCGCTCTCTAAAGTTGAGATGTCCCCTGACAAAGGGATGGAATTCTCACCTTAGCGCAATTCATGACTTTTTAGTTGCAGGGGTAGAGAGTACAACATCCTATAAAATCCAGATGCTTATAATATCTGCAAATGTTATTTCATTCAAACCTTCTAAACTGTAGATGATTATTAATCTTGGTCCTTGTCCTCGTGACCCCATGACCATAGTTATTGTAAGATAAGTTCTGGGAAGTAGTAAGGCCAGTTGAAGGAGGGAATCTGAAAGTAGTAAACAATTTGTAGAGGAAGGTGAAACTTTGATTTTCACCAAGAAAATTGGACCAGCATAGTGGCTCTTGGCATCAGGGACCCAGTTTGATTCCACCCTTCGGTGACTGTGTGGAGTTTGCAGATTGTCCCCATGATTGCATGGGTTTCCTCCGGGTGCTCCGATTTTCCTCCCATGGACAAAGATGCCCAGATTAGATGGGTTTGCCATACTAAGTTGCCCAGAGTGTCCAGGGATGTGCAGGCTAGGTGAATTAGCCATGTTAAATGTGGGGTTACAGGATATGGCAGGGAGCTGGGTCTTGGATGGATGCTTTTTGGAGGGTTGGTGTGGACCTAATGTACCAAATGACCTCCATCTGCTCTGTAGGGATTCTATGAAATTTCGCTCATTGCTAATAGTAATACTAATAACATTCAGGTTCTCCTTGTAGCCAGTGGTAGTACAGTCCCTCAGTGACGGTCCCTATGTGACTGATAAGTATGGTGCTCAATTGTTCTGTCAATAACTAGTAATATTCAATAATCTGCTGATTTTGTTTTTATGCTGACCCTACAGCTGGAATTGCCCTCCCTGTTAGGCTCAACCTTCTGCCCTTGACCTTTTTGTGAAGTTGATGACTTTGCATTAGGAACCATGGGCAGAGCAGGTCGGTAGTGGGACTTCACATGTTGAAACTGAGTGGCACTAACTGACCTGACTTAAACAATGGGCAGTGGTTTGGCATTTGAGGAACATCGCCTAACCTCAGTTCAGCATCAACATTTCTAATCTGTTCTTTGGCTCTGACTTAAAAAGGCGAACTTTCATAGGATACTTAAGATTACAGTAGGGAGGAGGCCATTAAGCCTCTTGACTCCTATCAGTCCCTTCCCTCCAGATTTCTTTGTATTTCACCTTTTCAGATAATTAATGTTGTTCCTCTTAAATTGTATTTAACTCTTATCTTCTGCAACTTCTGTTCTATTTCTGGTGAAGCATCTCGTGGTTTTAATAGCTTTCCACACAAGAACCTTCATTTACTTTTTCCTATTTGATTCTTCCAGTGTGAACCCTCAGTTTTTATCCCATTATTCTCTATTTTGCAATCAGTGAAGATAATGTTTCATTATTATCTTATTCCACTTCCATCTATGCCTTTTTTACTGGCACTTCCTATCCCAACCTTGCTCCTACTCCTCATGATGTTGTTGCTGCTCCCGGTCATTAGCTGACGCTGCCTCGCACGACCACCTCGTTCCCCAGTTTTCCTCCTTTATCCCCCTGAAAACTAGTCTGTCCTTTTCCTTCTTTCTTTTGTCTTTTCCTCTATTTTCCAGTTTCCCTTGTCCTTTTGTGCTTGCTGTTTCTGATCATAAACCCTATATTTAGTGCTTGAGCTTTCAGTGCAGCCACTCTCTGTCTCCGTGCCAATAGAACATATTAACATGGCTTAATTAGAAAACATAAAAATAAGCAAGCAATTTGTTAGCTATCAGCATTCCACAATGAATATTCCATCAAATTTTAGATAATTGAGGTTAGCAAAGGAAACCAAATCCCTGAATTATTACTTCTTGATCATGGTAGATGTCAGAGGCTTCCAAAGTCTGTTTAAATTTCAGTGTTTCATTTTAAGGTTAAAGCTTTTGTTGAAATGCCAACTTAATGTTCTGAGCTGTCTTTTCACTTTCCTCTCTCAGCTAGTTTTCCTCCTGGCTCCTAAAACTGACGCTGTCTGTTCAAATACAAGTGGGTGGTGTGCCAAATGGCCTTTCAAATGGGTATTTTTTGACATGTGTGGAGAAGGCATATGCTATTTTGGATAGCCCATGAATGCATACATGAATTGCAATGTATGATTAACCCATTGTTTGAAGTCCAGACATCGTACCATCTTTGTGCTGCTTATTAACATGTGTTCGGCATGCTCTGGGCACTAACCCTGTTGTTCACTCACTGTGTCAGTAGGGAGCCCAAAAGTCTTGCTTCTTAGTCTTATTTAAACTAATTCAGTGTTCAGAATTCACTGTTGTGATTTGGGTAGATGCCAGGCAGATGTCTGGGACTAATCACAATGCAGCCTCCACTGATATCCTAGCTTCTATAGCATAAAAACAGCTTTCACCAAAATTGTTAAGTACTGCAGTACAAGACCAGTCTGCTGTCTTTTTTCTTCCCCCTGTTTTTTTTGCATGTTTAGTTTGTGACCATACAGATGTGACTTTCAGGTAGGCTTTCATTACTTGAATGTTGGCCACGTGCGTGTGGGGTTGTGAATTGGAATCACAAACCATGTAATCAGACTATTGCTCATGAGCTACGCACCAAGGTCTTCAAATTGTATACCAATCAATGCCAAGATTTGTCTGTTCTAACACCTCAAAATAGGAAATCTGTTTGATTCCAATAACATAATGTACACATTGATTGGCACTTATAACATATAAACAATGGGCTCCACTGAATCCAGTTCCTTATTCAAGGTCTCTAGATTACTGACCACAAGAAAAATCAACAATACCCAACATTCACCTCCATACACACCCAGCAGATTTTTTTTTTTCCTCTCGAACTCTCCCCATTAACCCAGGGGAGCAGTGATCTTCTTGGCAGTAGGGATTGAACCTAGGACTGTCCTGATCTGTAATCCTCTGTTTCCACTGTTGCAATATGTTGAGTCATCGAGAGAGCTCTGATTTTTTTTTTGTTTTGCCTTCACAAAGTTCCACAGAAAGTTGTTCAACAATTTATTGAATCCTCCAGTTTATCTTGGCAGCAGTAAAATAAAACATAGAACTGCAGATGTTGGAGATCTGAAACAGAAGTTCAGCAAGGCATTTGACAAGGTTCTGTATGGTAGACTGGCTAGCAAGGTTAGATCACATGGAATCCAAGGGGGAAGCTAGCCATTTGCTTGAAGGTAGGAGACAGAGGGTAGTGGTGGAGGATTGCTTTCCAGACTGGAGGCTTGTGACCAGCAGTGTGCTGCAAGAATTGGTGTTGGGTCCACTGCTTTTTGTCATTTATATAGATGATTTAATGTGAATGTAGAAGAAATGGTTAATAGGTTTGCAGATGATGCCAAAATTGGTAGTATAGTGGAAGAAGGTTATCTCAGAGTATAATGGGACCTTGATCAGATGGGCCGAGGAATGGCAGGTAATTTAAATAAATGTGAGGTGTTAAATTTTCATGAGACAAATCAGGGCAGGACTTATACACTCGATAGTAGGGTCCTGGGGAACGTAGCCAAACAAAGAGACCTTGGAGTGCAGGTTCATAGTTCTTTGAAAGTGAAGTCGAGGTAGACAAGATAGTGAAGAAGGCGTTTGGTATGCTTGCCTTTATTGGCCAGTGCATTGAGTATAGGAGGTGGGAGGTTACGTTGTGGCTGCACAGGACATGGGTTAGGCCACTTTAGAATACCGCATGCAGTTCTGGTCTCCCTGCTATAGGAAGGATGTTATGAAACTTGAAAGGGCTCAGAAAAGATTTACAGGGTATAGCCGGGTTTGGAGAGTTTGAGCTATAGGAAGAGGCAGAATAGATTGGAGCTATTTTCCCTGGAGTATTGGAGTGACCTTACAGAGATTTATAAAATCATGAGGGGCATGGATAAGCCGAACAGTCAAGGTCTTTTTCCCAGGGTAGGGGAGTCCAAAACTAGATGGCGTATATTTAAGGTGAGAGGGAAAAGATATAAAAGCAACCTAAGGGGCAAATTTTTGATGCAGAGGGTGGTGTGTGTATGGTATGAGCTGCCAGAGGTGGTGATGGAGGCAGGAACAATTACATTTAAAATGCATCTTCCTATATGAATAGGAAGGGTTTTGAGGGATATGGGCCAAATGCTGACAAATGGGTCTAGGTTAATTTAGGATATCTGGTTGGCATGGATGAATTGGACTGAAGAGTCTGTTTCCGTGCTGTACAACTCTGACTCTATAAGTTGCTAGGGGAACTCAGCAGGTCTGGCTGCATCTGTGGAGAGACACAGTTAATGTTTCAAGTTCAATGACCCTTCATCTGAACTGATAGCAGCTAGGAAAAGGTGGCATTAATGCTGGTGAAGGGCAAGTAGATGGAGACGGAGCCCAGAAAAAGAGAGAAAAATTATCTTCCGTGGACAAAGGAATTGAAGATAGTAAGCCATAGAAGTAGAGAAGCTAGGTAAGTTATAATGAATGTTATGGGT